AATCTCCTAATCATATCTAATTTTTTTTGAAACATATATCTTGCAAGGGTTAGAGGTTTTGAAGGCGGAGTGAGTTGGTATTGAAAATAGAAAGCACGGAATCTAGGTAACTAATACATATCAAAGCAAGAGGGAAAGAAAACATATATTTGTGTTCTTTTATTTTCTAGACTTCGCCAGTTGATCGAACCTTGGAGGATCCAACGGAGAAGCAAACAACAGACCGGAAAACACCCAAACAGAAAGCATCCCGAAAATCAAACTATTATGAATAAGGATCGGAGCAACGCGACGCGTAGGATGTGTTTAGGGTTTTATGGATCTTTTTTGAGCACCACTAGATTTTCTAGGGTTTTGATCGATTTCTCTAACTCTTTACTCCAAATATATGCCTTTCTATTTATAAGGCAAGGATTCAAACTTGAAGATAAATATCTGGGCTCAGACTAATTATCTTTAAGTTTGGTAACATCTAGACGTGGAATGTACCTGGTAATAATAGGGCTTCTTCCATGACCAGGGTTGATCCATTGTTTTTTACTACCCGGAGCGAGATAAAAAAATTATGCCCTTATATGTGTACCGTACAATAACAAAAACATATAATCAAACAAATCTAGTAATTTCTAATATAAAAAATGTAGTAATTTTTATAATCAAACAAATAATACAAACAAAATATACAAAAAATCACCTAAAACGATGTCTTCGTGTATTTTTTGAAGCGAAAACATCTCTTATTTTACAATAATCAATATTTTTTAAAAAAATCACTTTCAATACTTAAAATTGCTAATCCATTCAATCTTTCTTGAGTCATGTACTTCGGAGATACGATTTCAAAAACTTCAATTTTGAAAAACTTCTTTCCGCGAAAGCAACCGTAACCGGCACCGTCAATAATATTCTATATGCAACCAACACATTAGGGAACATATCCATTCTTCTTGCATACTCCATTATTTGAATAGATGTCCAAGGACTTCGATTTTTGTATGCTTCATCTGACAACATTTTCTGCAAAAGTTTTAACTCAATGAATAAACCATCTCCATCAATATCATAATCTTCACTATTTTTCAAATTAGACTCAAGATTTAAACAATATTTCTTTAATTCATCATCAACTAAAGAAATTAATTTGGAACCATCAAACAAAAAACCAAATATCGATTCAAAATATTGCATTTGTTCAAATCTACTTTTCAATTGAACAAGAGCCATATCAACAATAATAAAAAAATAATCCCTTTTAAATGCTTCTTGAGAAGATTGGTGTTCTCTTTCGGTATTTGGAACTTCATCAAAATGTTGTTTTTTTTAAATTTTTTTTATTGCGTTTTTGAGGAAATTCGGGTTTAACTTTAACATTATTTGCTATTTCTTTTGTGTCACTAATAGCAAAGTCAAACCCACTTTCCCTATATCCTTCAAAATAATTAATTAACCCCTCTAAATTTTTTACAACAACATCAAAAAGCATTTCTTTGGATTGTAATTTTTTGCTTACTAAATTAATTTTGTACAAAATATCATACCATATAACTAAACTTAAAATAAATTCAAAACTAGAAAATTCACTATTTACTAGTGAATAAACACCTCTACAAACTTGTCCATTATCACTTATTATAGATAGTTTTTTTTAAAGCTTTTCTTATTTGATAAAATTGTGTTTTTATTGCTTTAACACATTCAATATGACTTTCCCAACGAGTAGCTGATAATGATTTAAGTGTTAGATCATCAACAAACTCAAGTAAAACACTCCATCTTTTGGTTGAATTAGAAAAAACATTATAAATCGTTTGACATGTACCAAAAAAAGTTTTTGCCTTTTGGCAAGAATTTGCCATATCACACAAAACCAAATTTAAACTATGACATCCACAAGACATATAAAAAGCTCTATTATTTATATCAAACAATCGTTTTTGAACACCTTGGTATTACCTTTCATATTTTCCCCATTATCATACCCTTGACCACAAATATAATTAATATCCAAATCAAGAGATTTTAGGGCATCTTGTAAAACATTAAAAAGACATAGACTGGATGTATCTTCTACAATTAAAAACTCTAAAAAAAACTCTTCAACTTTTAATGAAACACTTTCCAAATCTACACATCTTATAATCAAAGTCATTTGTTCTTGGTGACTAGCATCTGGAGTGCAATCAAGAATTACAGAAAAATATTTTGCCTTTTTTTTTTTTTATTTTTTATAATTGCACATTTTACCTCGGATGCTAACATTTAAATTAATTCATTTTGAATTTTATGACTAAGATAATGATTATGTGTTTCTTTGTCTTAAATCATTCGCAAATGTTCTTTCATTACCGGATCCCACTCCGCAATCGATTCAATTACACTTAAAAAATTGCCATTTGAGTTTTCATAAATTTTTTCATTTGTACCACGAAAAGCCAAGTTATTTTTTGCTAAACATTTTACAACAGAAATAATTCTAACCATAACTTCTTTCCAATGTTCGGTATCTCTCTCTTTTTTTATTTTTATTTTTTTTATTTTTTTTATCATTTCTTGAATTTATTTGTCAATTGTTTCGTTTTTATTTAACCTAATTCGCGTTTCATTCCATGTTCTTAAATTATCCATATGATCGAAACTATTTTCAAGTTGTTTTAATGTTTCACTAAGATGTTTCCAATCTTTAATTCCTTCGGTTGCCAAACTACTTTTGGTTCGAATGGTTTTAAACAACTTACAACAAAAACAAAAAACCTTATCAAGTTCTCTTGAATACACTAACCATTTTCTATCAAAAGAATCAACATTTCTTAATTTTCGAATGAAAAAATCAAATGAAAAATGTCTACCAAGTGAATCTTTTGGAAAAATTGTGTTGGTATCAACTTCTCTATTTGACCCTTTTTCTATTAGTAAATCTTTCATTTTTGAATCTAAATCATCCCATACTCTAGGATCAAAAATATTAAAATCACTTGGTTTATCTTTATCAAAAAAATCATTTTTTTTTTCAAAATCATTGGAAATATCAACCGAATCATTGGAAGTACTAGTTGGAACATTAAAATTATTGACCGGATCATTAGAATTTTGATTTCTAACAAAATATTTATTCAAAGACCCTCTTAATTGATTAGCCTCTTCTTGTTCTTTTCTTTTTCGTTTTCTATTTTGAGCACCCGATGGTTGTTTTCGGGGGAACGTATTTAAAAATCAGCAAATCTAGTTATAAAAGCTAAGCAAAGAAAAAAAAAATCAATAATTCTAGTTATAAAAGCTAAGCAAAGAAAGATACAACCTGACCAAAGTTTTCGTCTTTATTTCCCACTTTGAAGATGCCGATAATCTGAAAATTAAAACATACAATCAGAAATACAAATCCATTTTCAACAACTATTGACTAATAACACTACAATGATTCACATGATCACATCACAGAAACAAAAACAAAACAAAACTTTAGAAAATTAATTCAGAAATTTGTATCATAAACAAACCATAGACTATAGTAATAAGAAACTATACCTAAAGTAAACCATAAATCCCATATACCAACAGCAGAATTTGATGCTTTTATTTGTTTCAGAAACAAAAGAGTATTTTTTTTTATTGTAATCCAGCAGATCCAACAGGTAAGAAAAAAACTTCCTAACTCCTAATCAATTGAAGATGCAACAGCCAAGAAGTTTGATGTTCAAACAGAAATAAAAAAAATCATTTGAAGAAAAGTAGAGAACTTACCCTAATCAGTTGAAGAGCAGAAGATGAGAACTGAAAAGAGAATTTAGAAATTGTCGTTCACTTCGTTTTCTATTTGAAAACAATAGAAAATTCCAATTTCCAAGTCTGCAACTCAAACAACAAATCACAAATTCACAATATTGAATTAAACAAAGAAACAATGATTGAAGAAAACTCACAGTCAATTGAAGAAAACTCACCCAAAATTCGAGTTTATGAGTTTTAGAGAAGAAAACTCGCAATCGGATTGTATCTCCACTCTCCAGTCACAGGTTGTGTTTGATTTGTTTTTTCCCTTCCCCCTTCGTTTGAAAGATCGATTGACCGAAGTACTGAATGTATAGGCTATAAGTTTTAGAGAAGATTGATTGATTGAATAAGAAATTGAGAAGAAGATTGAAAAGAGATTGAGAGGAAGGAATGAGAATCGGCTGAATCGGTGATGCCCACACTGCCACACAACAAATACATTGAATCCATTTGAACGTTGGTCGACCGACGACCGTCTCCTCACTGCTTCAATTGACGATTGCGCTACTCAAGGCGTTCAAGGTCAAGAATCGCTGAATCAGTAATGCTGCCCCTAACGTTGATTATTATTGGATTGGACTATTGGAGTAATTGGGATTAATTTTTGGGCCAAAATTACATAGATATATTATGACTTGTTGCATAAAAAATATGCCCCCATTTTTTTGATGCTATGGGCCTAAGCCCAACTTGCCCATATAGTTGGGTCGGACCTGTCCATGACCGTTGCAACATCTAGATGTGGAATGTCTAGGGCTTCTTTCCCGAACCTGCTAACATAATCCCTTAAGGATTCGTCACTTCCTTGGGTTACTTTGTAAATGTCACCTGTTAGTTTCTCAAACTATAAGAAAAATGATTATTAAACAAGTTAATGAGATGTGAGAAAGAAGTACTAGAGTAATGAAGAATGTTTAAGAGCCACTTTAATGCAAATCCTATAAGGGTTGAACCAAAACCCTTACATAGACAAGCCTCCTTAAGATGTTAGGGAATCAAAATAATCTCCATGCGTTCTTTGTATTGGACGATATGTTCTTCAGGATTTGTGGTCCCATCATACATCTTCATGTTAGGTGTTTGCAACCTCTTTGGAACTTTGATGTCACAGATAAGGGGGTGCAAATCTTGAGACCCTATGGCCAACTGGTGACACCTCTGGTATAGGTTGAATGAATCACAAATGGTACACTTGAGATCACGTCTCTTAATTGTTTGAGTTTTTTTTTTTCATGACTGGACCTATCCCCATATCTTGGGCATTAGGTAGGATGTTGAATATTTCTACAAGATCTTGGGCAGTAGGACCTCCCGTGCTAGCAGTTGCACCATTTGTGAAGATAGGCATGCACCTTGAGGTGAAGTTTGTGAGTTGGTGTTCTAAAGATGCACCAATTTTGAAGTTCAAGATCATGGGCTACAAGAATGAACGCCGGGTTGGAGTAGTTTCCATAGGCCTTCTTGAGTTTGAGATTAGCTTCTTTATTCTTCCAAATAGTATCTTGTTGGTTTCACCCTCTTTGGTGATACCCTGCTCAATTCTGGTCAACATAGATATGACTTAAGTATTGGAAACCATAGCTGACATTAGCCCTTATGGGGAATTCAATACTCTTTCTTTGTGGGTTAATTGCAGAAGGTGGGGGAAGGTTTTCATCAACAAAAATAGATGGAGCAGTGCTAGAAGTGAATTTTGGCAGAGTAGACATTTTTTTTTTTTGCAAAATGGTGTAAGTGAGAAAATCATAGAAAAACTTTTTTCAACAATCTCAAGAAAAATAAAACAACACCACTTGTCCTATGGATGACACCAAATTATTTTGGTAAAAAATTAATAAATTAATTTTGTAAACAAATTATTAAGTGTGGTGTGATGTTTTTAAACGATAGGTTGGTTTGTAAAATATTTAAGATCTTGAAACGTACTTAGGATCTTGGTCAAACCCATGATCTTAGGAACAAAATAGAGATGTTGAAAATGTTACTTGAAATATTGATTTTTCTTCAGGTGTTGTTGACGTCAGGTCCATTAGAATGGCCTAGACGGCTAGCTCTCCAGCCTTACCTGACGCTTGCCTGCTAGCCTTGTCTGACGCCTGCCTGCCGAAAGGTTTTAGTAGCAATGATTGGTCAAGGATTTTGTTTTCCAATGGTATCATCAGGATAATTCAGGGTTGGAAGGGTTTTGTTCGATTCAGGAAGCATAATAGAGTCATATTGGTTGTGTTTCAGAATGGTTCTGTCTGCATGTAAGACAATCAAGGTATTGGGTTTTCGGATTTCGGCAGAATAGTAATGGTTACTCTTCATCGGTTAAGATAATTGATTATGGATTCGTTCTTCGTCAGAGTATATGATCTTTGCTAAGTTTGGGGATTTGATATCAGCAACAGAAGGCGGTCATCTACTCAAGAAGACCTCTCAGTCCTAATTAATATCCAGGAAGGTTTGGCACGGACACCGGGTTTGGCAGAGTAAGCTGTAAGGAATGATTTCGAGGACGAAATCTAATTTAATTAGAGGAGAGTTGTAACACCCTTGTTCCAGAATGGTTAAGCTTACTTCTATTAGGGACCAAATATGAAGTTTTGGGGGAAAACCATGTGCCACAACGTGGTGCAAGGATGCCTACAACGTGGAACTAATTAAATGGACTGTGTCTTTTATTGGACCACCACAACATAACCAAGGATGGCCACGACATGGCAGCTGTTCTGGCCCAAGCCCATGATTCTTTTAGGTTTTGCTTCATAGTTAAACCCCTCTAAGCCATTTTTATTCATTTTCAGCCTCCATCACCCTCAAGTTTCAGAAACCCTAACCCTAATTCCTCTTTATGAGATGTGAGTCCAGTTTTGTGACTTTGGTTGCTTGTGAAGAAAGAAGAGGCGTTGGAAAGGATTATGGGGCTTCTTGGTTGAAGTAAAGGCTTCTTTTGGGCATCTCTGGACCTTTATAAGTGTTTAGGTTCCTTGCTTTATGTTTTAAAGTGGATAGATCTTGAATATTTTCCCATGTTTTTCATGATTGGGCAAGTTTGGAAGGAGGGAGCTCATAAAGTTGGCAACTTTATGACTCTCCTGAGTCCCAAGAGCATCATATGTTTTGGATCTAGTATTTGGTAGAAGTTCTTGTCTTTTGCTTAAATTTTGGTCTTTAGAGCTCATTTTGACCTAAAATGGATTTTAGACATGTATTGGACATGCATACCTATAAAGCTTTCATCTTTATGATAGATTTGGTATTAGAAACCCTTATGGAGTAGTTGGGTTAAGGACTTTTTTAGATTAAGGACTTAATGGTTAAGATATTGTGGTATTTGGTTTCATTTGGACCTAGGTTTGGAGATCTTGATATCTTTGGGTGTCTTAACGGATAAACTTAGAAACTTTATCCATTTAGACCACATAATGGACCTAACGTAAGCTTTGGAGATCTTGGAATTGAAGGAATCGACTTAATCCATTAATTTGTTAGAATTATAGTGCCTACGACGTGGCCATAGGTCATCACGGCGTGACGATTGTGAATTCCCCGTCTGTGCGATTGTATGAGGGCCACGACGTAGCCATGGAAGGCCACGACATGATAGTTCATTGAAGTGAACGATGATCGTTGACTTTTGGCATAGGTTGTTTTTGGTAAAAACTGCTGGTTTTAGTATGTAGACTAAGGTTGGACCTTGTATGATGTGATAGGAGTGCTATAACAGAGGTTGCAAGGCTTAGAGCCATGGCTTTAGCTGATTCGTGAGTTAGGTGAGTCTCTTCATTGTACCCGTGGGTTGAAGACACCAATATTGTGTTGGGTTTTGAGCAATCTAACACTTCCTAAGTGTGCATGCAACCCTAATAAACCTTGGATCTATGTTTGTCTAAATACATGCAAAATAATAATTTTCCAAGGTTTATAACCTATCTAACATGGCATGGGGAACATTTCAACATAAAAGAGTTAGAAGAGATTACATACCTTTTGGTGAGTTTGGTTCTAAGGAGTTTGAGGGCCAAGCACCAATAGTGTGAATGCCTCAAATGGAATCACAAACACCACAAACTCTTGGAAAACTTTGAGAGAGTATACACCTTGTATAAAATCGGCCACATACATGCACACACACACTAGTTCACTAGTTTTCTCTTAGGCTCCATTTCATGCTCCATAAGCATGCTTATATAGTGTGCATGGTTAGGGTGAAACCCTAATAACCCATGTCTTTTCCTTTTCCAAGGATCCATGGGTTAAAAGCTCCATGGATCATCCATGGACTTCCACATAAGCCTAGCCCATTAACAAATGAGTATTAGCCCACACTATATAAAACAAATAGCCCATAATTTAATTAGTATTCCTTTTAATCTCTAAATTAATTCATAATTAATTTAAGACTAAAACTAATTAAATAACGTAACTTCATATTAATATATTATAACTCATAATATATTAATAAACATATGTGTATAACTCTCATAAAATTATCCATAATAGTTTGGATGAGATGCAACCCAAATGGACCATGCCGGTCGGGTCAAGTATATACCAAATAAGTTATGGACTTAGACACCTTATCCAACAGACTCCCACTTGGATAAGTCTAATAACTATATTTGCCTATAACTTCAGGAACCAACCAACAATCGTAGCTCTCGAAAACTCCCTCGAACAATGAAGACTCTGTCGAACTATGAAGCGCCATTTTAGATAAGTGATCACATAATCCTCTGTTCTCATGATATCAGCCGGACAAACACATGGAACTATGTCTTGCTTATTGTCTAGCAGTTGTTTCTCGATTTTCCGATTTGTTTGACGAAGAACTTCACTGAACACATCGGTTTAGTTCTGACCAGGCCTGGTACATGGGTCAACACAAAATCATCGAGGGGCCCAGATATCGCTTCTATTTCTAGAAGGAACAGATAAACTTCGACTGATATGCTTGTTCTACTACTTATTGAATTGTACACAAAGGCACGTTTTATAACATCAAGTTACTGATGCGTTTACGTGCAATCAATGCACAACCAACTCATAGGTAACAACTCATATCTCTAGGTTTAAAGATTTATATGATGTTATCGTCTCACGATCACTCGAGATAAATTCCATGAAGTGATACAAGTGAGCGTGGGTTTATACCAATACTCATAACTTATGAGTACTCATGAATGTTGCAGCAACCATTGCCATGTCTAAACACCTTTAAGGCATCTACAAACCCAATTCATGACAATCTTGATTCATACCTACTTCCGACGTATGATCGATTGTGGAGGTTTGAATAAATTAATTATTCTGGAAGTCAAAACATGCAAAACTGAAACAATAGTAAATAATTGACAATGATAGTAACACTTTACTCATAAATAAATCACAAATTTTATTCATCATCAAACGTCGATTACATTTTACAAGTTTCAGGAAAACTATCTAATCTGTAAAACTAATATCGTCCCTCAGCCCGATGCGTCTCGCATGCTGAAAATGCTTAACCCTCGTCAGTCCCTTCGTAAGGGGATCTGCAGGATTCTCATCCGACGATATCCTCCTTGTCACAAGGAGTCCTTCTTCAATCTTGTGTCTTATGAAGTGATATTTTCTGTCAATGTGTCGGGATCTGCCATGATCTCTTGGTTCCTTGGCTAAGGTAACCGCACTATTGTTGTCACAGAAAATCTCTATAGGTTCCTTAATAGCTGGTACAACTCCAAGGTCTCCGATGAAGTTCTTTAGCCATATCGCCTCCTTCGCTGCTTCACTCGCTGCTATATACTCTGATTCACAAGTCGAATCAGCCACCGTCTCCTGCTTGGAACTCTTCCAAGAAATTGCCCCTCCATTTAAGGTAAAGATCCAGCCCGACTGAGAGCGGAAATTATCCCTATCAGTCTGAAAACCAGCATCACTATACCCTAATATTCTCAAGTCATCACTGCCACCAAGGGTAAGGATCCAATCCTTAGTCCTCCGCAGGTACTTGAGAATGTTCTTTACCGCGGTCCAATGAGCCTTGCCAGGGTTCCCCTGATACCTGCTGACCATGCTCAAAGCAAATGCCACATCAGGACGGGTACAAGTCATAGCATACATGATCGAGCCAACTGCGGAAGCATATGGTAATTGGCTCATCTCAGCTATCTCTGCCTCTGTACTCGGACTCTGAGTCTTACTCAGTTTGGTATTGCTTTGGATCGGTAAATCTCCTTTCTTGGAATTCTCCATGTTGAACCTTTTCAACACCTTATCCAAGTAGATACTCTGACTAAGTCCAATTAGTCTTCTACTCCTTTCTCTTAATATCCTTATCCCTAGGATATAGGTAGCCTCCCCTAGGTCCTTCATAGCAAAGCACTTCCCAAGCCAGGACTTAACCTCCTGCAAGGTTGGGATGTCATTTCCTATGAGTAGTATGTCATCCACATACAGTACCAAGAAGCTAACTATACTCCCACTAGCTCTGACATACACGCAAGACTCATCTTCGCTTCTCAAGAAGCCAAACTCTTTTACCTTCTCATCAAAACAAAGATTCCAGCTACGAGATGCTTGTTTTAATCCATAAATG